AATAATAAAAAATTAAAATTAGAAATATCTTTTAAAAATAACTTTTAATATATATTATTTTTTTTGGGGAGGGGGGGTGATGGGGATAGGGGTGAGGGTGGTGTAAAAAAATTGAAGTTAAAAACATTTTTATAAACAAGCTTTATATTTATTTTTTTTGGGGAGGGGGCTGTTGGGGGACTGATTTGAGGATAAGGACAAAATAAATTGATTTTAAAAAAAATAAAATTGGAAGTTGTTTTTAAAAGATATTGAAATTCATGTGTTACTGACATTAGGAGGAATTATCCGTTATGGTACAAATTCCCCCCTATGTTATGGACTTAGCTTGTAACCCCATCAAATGTTTCTGACATGTTTTCAGGACAAACATTGTTATTCAAGAGTCATTGAGATGCTTGTAAATGTTTGGGCATACCATAGTGCAAGAAGAATGATGTATGTGGACCCACAGACAGGCTTGATGGAGGAACAAACATAAACTAAAAAGCCGTAAAGGCGAAATGTGGGTGAAATGGTTCCAATTTAACACTCTTAAGAGCATGGATGAGGAACTGGCTGAGGAGGCAGATTCTGACCGCCCAAAAAGGAGGTGGTTGTGGCCGTCAACTGGTGAAGTTTTCTGGCAAGGTTTCTTTTCTTTTTCATTTTTGTATCACATTCTCTCCCAAGCCTTACTCATTCAATATAGGAGAATGAGAAGGATGGATTTGTAAGCTAACAGTCAGCAATTGTATGTGTTGTAACTTAAGAAAACCCACTTTCTATACCTTTCTACTAAGTGAAATTACGTTGGTTACTCGAGATGTGGCTTAAATCTACGGTAAGTCTTGATTGCCACGTTGCAAGTATCTGAGGATTTGGCTTAATTTTTCTTTGAGAACTTTGGCAGCGTGTGGTTATTTCTGCTTTCAAAGTTTCTATTGTTTAGCAGTCAAATATTGAACTTAATTAACAACTGCTACGCTATGCAGAGGCACAAAGAGTGACAGGGCTTGTATTTTGTCTACAAGTAGTACAAAGGACAACTTTTCACAGCCATTCATTTTTCCCTATAAATAGCATGTAACTTGCTGCATTATTCCAACAAGAACAACATTGAAATCCAATTAGAAAATGGCAATCAAGACTTCATTTTTTTTCTTCATTATATGTTCCAATATTGTTGATTTTAGCACTAGTGGCAAGGTCTGAAGCAGGAGGAATTGCTATATACTGGGGACAAAACGGCAATGAAGGGACACTCGCTGAAACTTGTGCTACAGGGAACTATGACTTCGTGAACATAGCGCATTTCTTTCAGCGTTTGGAAATGGTAGAAACGCGATGCTCAATCTAGCAGGCCATTGTGATCCATACACTCCAAATGGATGCTTTCACGTGAGTTCTGATATAAAATCTTGTCAATCTAAAGGAATCAAAGTCATGTTTATCAATCGGGGGAGGAGCAGGAGCAGACTCAATTGCCTCCCCCCGATGATGCTTATCAAGTTGCTGCATATCTATGGAACAACTTTTTAGGTAGAAAATCGACCTCTCGCCCTCTAGGAGACGCAATTTTGGATGGAATCGACTTTGATCTAGACTCTAGAGAGTGGTGAAGGACCATATAGGGGTGATCTTGCAAGATATAATAGCAACAGAGGAAGCAAGAAAGTGTACTTAACTGCAGCCCCACAGTGTCCATTTCCTCATGCTTGTGTTGGAGGAGCCTTGAAAACAGGGTTTTTTTTACTATGTTTGGGTACAATTTTATAACAATCCACCATGTCAGTACAATCAAGAAAGTGTAACTAGTTTTCATGATTCATGGAAACAGTGGACTTCATCAATTCCTGCAAAGAAAATATTTCTTGGATTGCCTGCTCCTCCTGATGCAGCTGGAAGTGGATTTATTCCAGTTGGTGATTTAACTTCTCAAATACTTCCAACTATAAAGGGTTCTGCTAAGTATGGAGGAGTTATGTTGTGGTCCAAGTATTATGATGATCAAACTGGTTATAGTTCCTCCATTAAAACCCATGTCTAAACTATTTGTACTCTTCTCATAAAATTAGTATAATATCACTTTTTTCGTTTTAATTCATGTTATGCACTTTGACTAGATATTATGTGTTCGATTGATTAAAAAAAAAATTGAAAAAATATTTTTTTTTAAAAAACAAGTATGTGAAAATGACTTATCTATTGAAATTAGGGAAAACAAGTTTCACAAGTGATATTTTATATTCATCGTATTCTCCCCATCCTCCAACACACCTCATTTTAACCCGCCCCCACTCCACACACCATATTTAGTTCCTTTTGGGTTCAAGAATTGTCCTTATCCAGTTGTGTGCTTACCACCTGGTGACATGAAGAATAGGGAGCGCATGATCTGGATCCAATTGTAAAGAGCAGGAGGAAATCCGCAAGTTGTGAAGCCGCTTGATGATTTCAGGCCTTTCCAGCAATGAAATCAGAAACAATTGAGGTTCTGCAGGAAAAAATGCAAAATGCAGTTAACAGAGTTATTGAAATCCTTGATTCAGGAAAACCAATAGAACAATCGGTGGAACCTCAACTATCCACTGGTACCAATGATGGGAGTACCATATTCAAGATAAGCAGAAAATTGAGGAGGAAAATAAGGAAGTGTAAGGTGAGGAATTGCCAGCTCGTGATGATGTTGTCGTCTCTGAACCTGATGATGAAGGAAAAGAGCATAATGTGGTGGTTGAGCAGCGGCATGTGGAGGAGAACTCTGAGATGCAAGGGAACGAACCAGCGGCTGCTGAACCAGTAACTGCCGATAATGCTGCACCTGTGATCGAGGAACCAGTGGATGGAAGTAAAGCTATGGCTTCTCCAGCATCAGAAGCTCTGAAGCTGTAACTACCGAGACAGACCTGTCAAGGGAGAAAGAGCTTGATAGTAACCAAAAGTAGAGAACCAACAAAATAGAACAAAGCCAATAAATTTACTGAAAATAGTTTGTGCAAGTATCTTAAACACAACTATACAAATAAAGTTGTCTGTATGGAGAGGACAAGACTCCAGAAAATACTAGTTTTGATTCTTAATTACATAATACTAATAACTAACTAATCCTGATTACATATATATATATATAGAGAACATAAAAGAATAAGACTGACACTATAAAGTAATTCCAGAGTTGGCACTTCTGACTCTTTCACCCAACGATGCAATAAAACTTTTTCAGGTTCCACCATAAATTCCAATTCACCCAATAGTGGTAAGGGTGGAGGAGAAGCAATATCAGAACAACCACGAGCAGGACGAAGCAGCGAGACATGAAAAATAGGATGTACTTGAAAGAGAGGGGTGGAAGATGAAATCAAAATTAAAATAAGTCAAAAAGTAAGAGGGAAAGAAATAAAGAAAAAAATGATAAAGAAACAAGTTAAAATGAAAAAGAAAAAAAATTAATTTAATTGACATGTGTCATGTAATGATTCGTGTGTGAATACACTAGCTTTTTAATTTTTTTTGGGGCTAATCGAAAAATGATATAATAATATCAAGTTCAAAATTGTTTATTGGGGTAATAGGACAGTAAGTTAAGATGTCTTTTTGAACAATTTCAGTGGTGATTTTATATCTTTTTTATTTTATTAAACTCTATGTCATGTTAAATTCTTTTTTAATACAAAAGTGTAATAATTAAAGAAAAAGATTTATGAGAGATTTGTGTCCCGAAATAGTCTGAATTCGAAACAAAATCAAGTTGCTAATTGCCGCATTTTTGGGTGTGGCGATAATTAATGAGTCCCAAGTGGATTAGAATGCTACTAGTGTTTAGTCATTATCTTGATCAAGACAGACGAGGAGGTTGAAGATTCATCGTCAGAAAGATCTCTCACGTGAGTTCTTTTCTTTTTCTTTCAAAATTTATGAATTTTTTTTTTTTTTTGAAATTTCAAATCAAGGCGTATCTTACTGATCAATAAAGTCTGTTAAGAATTGTAACGGAACCTTGGCTAATTTCTTTTCATATGGTCTAAGTTTTGATAAATAAAGTTATCTAATACATGTGGAGATGGGAGTTAGCAGGTAGCCATGAATTAGATGGGGTGCGAGTAAGTTAGTTGGCCCACACCACGTAACAAAAAAATGTTAGGTGGTGACTCCACAAATCTATTTGATAAAATTTCCAAAGTTAGCACACATTTTTAAGCCTTTAACCTTTTCGTTTCAAACCTGGAAATAATTTTCTTCTAATTATTTCGTGAACAGAGTGCCATAAAGGTTTCTAACATACTGATTCTGATTCTACAACTTGAACCTCTCTTGTCTATTGTTCTAATCCTTGTTTGCTGTTTCATTGATTTGTAAACGACGGTGGTGAAAATGATACTGTTGACTCTCTTTTAGCAGAAACGGGGAAGGAAATAACCATAACAGATATGCAGGACAATATCTCACAATGCCAAGAAATTTTATCGTTATTTTTGCCACTGGATGAAGTGACCATTGCTAGGATAGTTGGTGTGATTGTCCGTACACAATCAGATGACAAGAGTGTACACTCAAAATTACTTGCTGATCTTTGTGGCAACAATACATCGGAGGAGCTATCACAATGGGATGCAGACACTCTTATTTATGCAACAAAGCAACTTGTGAGTTACATTACCTTGTACATTTATTTCTTGATGATAACAAAGAATTTTACCAACTCTGCTGCTGCAGGCTCCTGAATTGAACTGGGTAACTATTATGGAAAACCTAGATCATGAGGGTTTCAATATTCCCAACGAAGCAGCTTTTTACTTTTTGATGTCTGTTTATAAACATGCCAGCCAGGTACCTCTTCTCACTTCTTTCTCCTGACCATATTGTTTCTCTCTTCTTTCTATATCCGACTGGAAACATTTCTAGATTCGAAATTGGGGAATAAGCAAAATATCTGGAATTGCTAGACACACACTTGTTTACATTCCCCTGTTTGTAGGTTTTGATATTTTATTATTTTATTTTATTTCCATTTGTATTACTTAACTTTTTATTTCCTTTTTAATACATGGACCAATGTATATTGGTACCATCATTTTCAAAAATTTGACCAAACATATCTTTGTTTCTTATGCTGGAACTTAAGGTCACTTTCCTCTCAGAGCTATTTGTGGCTCTATCTAGAAGAATGCTGAGGGTCTGATTTCCTTACTTAAATATGCTGTCTCAGCTCCTCCGGAAGTGTTTACCTTTGCACATTCTCGGAGGCAACTGGTAGGCCGTCTGATGCTTTTAATATTAACTATGTATATGAACATCATATCATATTTGTTGGTCTTAGAGTCAGTTTTGCAGGCCTATGTTGATGTTGTGAATGACCATAAGGTTCAAATTGAACATGCAAATCATGAGTGGTTGTGTCTTGACCTTCTGGAAGTTCTTTGCCAGCTGGCTGAGAGAGACCATGCAAGTTCTGAAGTACTGCCCTGAAGTCTTGCTTCTTGGGATGGCCCACATTAATGTACTGGGTTTTGACATGGATTAAAATTCTTTCCTGTTGTTTTTCTACCGTTATTACTAAAATGTCTTTGAATGATTTTCAGACTGCATCTAATCTTCTCCAGCAAGAAGTTTCCTCTGCTGTTATCCCAATATTACTGCAAAATGCTGATGCAAGTGGTATGATTGTTCATCTGTGGCATGTTAATCCCAACATATTGTTGCGGGGTCTTGTAGATGCGATGAGCACTGACCCAGAAAACATGAGCTGATTTTTGGCTGCCTGTCAAGATATATAAAGGTTGGGTAACTTATCAGATTTGAGTATTCTTTTCCCTTAAACTATACTATAACCATACTATAAACATGTGTTACAGGAGAGACGAGTTCCCTGTGCACCTCCAGTTTGTAAACTAGTGTAACTCGTTTTTCCTCTCAGATTCTATCACCAATACTAGATATGATTCCATATGCATTCGGTGTTAAACTTGCTGCCCTTGCTTCCTGCAAAGGACTCATAGATTTGGAGAAATGGTTGAGCAGTAACTTGAACGCATATAAAGATGCATTCTATGAGGTATGTTTTTATCCACTATGTATAAATTTGACATATTTGGTTGACATTGTTGCTCTTCTCCAGACCTAGTCTGCCTTTTCGTTTTTCTTAACATTGGAGAAAATATTTGCTTGCTGTATCCCCGCATTCAACCATTGTGCCAAACTTTACATATATTTTGTAGGAATGCATTAAGTTCTTGAAGGAGGTGCATCTTGCTGCTCAAGTTGTAACTTCCAACCACTTCTGTTCTCCCAATGCTCTTAGGATTATTTATTTGGGAACTTCTTCAACGTTCTTAAAGGTCCCATTTTGACACTTGAGATTGATTAGTTCTAGCAGCATACACTTCAATCTGATTTTGCTTATTTATGGATCTATTCCCTGCAGGTCCTCCAGTCTCATTCTTGCCTAGTTTCTTCACCCCACCTATCTGTGGAAATGGATAAGTTGCATGTAACATACATGGGAACTAAGTCACGGTTTAAGAGTTCTGGTTCTGCTGATTTGTCATCATCTGATTATTATTCTGAAGATATTGAAGCAGAAGCAAACTTGTACTTCCATCAACTTTTCTCTGGTCAGGTAACTAATGATACAATGATTCGAATGCTTGCTCATTTGAAAGAATCGACTGAAAAGAGGTTAATTGCTTACAAAAATCCATTTCAATGATCTTTTAATTTTACAATGGTTGCACAGATGCAAATCGTGCATTCCTTTTTTGCACTTCGTTGATTCTTACAATTGCTTTTCCTCTGGTATTGTGCTCACTAACCCCAAAAAAATCATGCAGCAGTTGGATGTATACTTCGTTATTCCTTACCAGAAGGTAGTATTAGTTATATTCCAGCAAAAAAACTTACACCAAGGAGGGCTAAGCCTGACCGCAGAATATAATATTTGACTGGTTAACCAAACCAAGTCAATGCGCAAAAAAGAGTAGGACTAATTACAGAGGGTCCTACTCTAAGAAAAAACATCTTTAACTAACTAAATAATTAGCTTTATCTTATAGAATTCGCAGATTAGGTAGTTGACTCTTATCCAATTGATAGGATCCATTGGCTCTTTTGGCAATGTTTGGAAGGAGTCAAAGTGCCTACCAATATCTTATTTGGAAGCATACTTAGTGTCACGATCCGAGACTACCCCTAGTCGCGAAACGGTGCTTAGAGCCACAAGTGACCCTAAGCTAACCTCATGGTTTTTTCTGTCATGACACTAAGACAAACATGAAATAGTATCTTAAAACAACTGGATGCGGAAGCTAACCGAAATAGTCTATTATACTCAATTGTAAGGTATATATTTGAATTTTATTTTTAGCCGAATCCTGGTACTCGTATCCATGCATGGATCCGTATCTCCGAATCTTAAAATTTAGATCATAAAAGATCCGACCTCTAGATCCGCACCCATATCGAACACTTGCACCCGAGTCCGAACAACTTAGGGATAACTGTATGCTTGGTCATGCAATAACTGAAAGACTAACTATGGGAGATACTGAAATCGACATATAACTATGTGAACTACTATATGGATTATGGAGTTTGATGTATAAAGATAGATTTGAGCTAACGTGGATCCACTAAGTTAATGTCCTTAAAAGACTAAGGAGTCGGCCTCAACTAGCGAAAAATTCCCTTAAACCCTATGGTGGCACGTAGTTATGGAACTTAGGGATTGCTGCTAAAGGTTTCATGCCTCAATTAACGGGTGATCCTTTATCCCTAGGTCCACTCAGTGCTAAGCAAAACTCTCAACAAAAAACATGGAAATAATTGAAGACAATAATATTCTGGTAATCTTTCTCAAAAATAATATTCTGGTAATACTAACTTATATTGATAATAGTTGAGTAGTTCATGAATCATGATAAAACTGATAATATCTAAAAGACACTTTATCTGAAGGCATAATACATAAATATGCTCTTTAACTTGACTTTACTTCACATTTATGCCCTCCAACTTTGGGTGTGCACAAGTGAATACTTAAATTTGTATAAAGTTGAACAAATAGATACACACATCCTATGTGTCATCATACATGGCAATTTATGTTCTATGTGTTGTCCTACATGTATTATGTCACCTAGGACGCATGTCTACTTGTTTAACTTTATACAAGTTTAAGTGTCTACTAGTGCACACCAAAGTTGGAGGACATAAATGTGAAATGAGATAAAGTTAAAGGACATATTTATGTATTATGCCTTATCTGAAAGTATCTAAAATCATGAAACCTGATAATCTGAAACATGCATTTGGAAGTACATAATTCTGAGTCATGAAAATACTTATATACTGGCTGGAATGGAAGCCTTGACTTGAATTTCTTGAATGGAGACTTGAAGCTTTGGAACCCTAGTTCTTGCTTGAGAGGAACTTGAGAGCTATGTTGCTTGGACTCTTCAAAAATGCCAATGGGTGCCTATCGGATTTGCCAAAAGTAGTGTATTTTTAGAGAATCCGAGACGGGTGCGGCATCAAAAGTGAAGAGTCCGCGCAACTAAGCTTGAGAGTAATGATTCTGAATTTGGAAGTTATGCGTGACAGGGAGGCATTTAGGGCGACTAACTACCTTTAATCCCACTTAGAATAGTCCAAAACGACATAATATTTTTTATTTTTTTTTGATAACCGAGAAATCCGTCTGTGACCCGCCCTTTGGACCAATCACAGCCTTCCAAAACGACATAATATAGGAATTAAAAGAGTAATAAAAGACCAAAACAACCTACTAAAGATCTGGGTTCGGCAGATTTCACGGGGGTCTCTACAACTCGTGGTTCCTTCTACGGACGGTAGAACCCTATCCATAGGAATCAGAGTAAAATCTGAGTTTCTGAACCTTGATTCTATGAGACCCTTCAATGGACCGTAGATATGACCCGTAAAACTATCTACGACTCGTAAACTTGACTCGTGAATCTCAGACCAAATTTTCTGTTTATGAAGTCTCATTTACGAACTGCCATCTACGGTCCATGTTTCCTTCAACGGCCCATAAATGGTGTCCGTAAAACACAGAATTCTGCAGACTTAGATTTCTGAACTTTTCAAGGGCTGATCTGGACTTAGGAACTTTTGGGGGTGTTACACTTAGCTAAGCAATCAGCTACCTGTTTTGCCTCTCTAAAGCAGTGTCTGATAGTTGCATTTATCAGGCTCAACCTTTCCAAAATCTTATCCACTCTTCTCTTCAATTTGAGATTGGTAGTGCCTCTGTTTAGAATCACTTTGGTGACAATTTCAGAGTCCAGTTCAATAAATCCCAAACTAGAACAAAGATCCACACAATAGCTTGTAGCCATTGTCTTTGCCACATACTATTGCTGTTATATATCACTGGAACAGCAAATGCCATTAGGATATCTCCATCTTCATTACTGATGATTCCTCCAGTTCCAGTTTTCCCAGTGTATTGTAGGTAGCTCCCATCAGTGTTTAAATTCACTTTGCCCCCCATTGGTTTCTCCCAGCTGACTTTTTTTCCCATTTTACAAGGGTCTAAGCCTCTCAATTACATCACAAACATTTTGCCATGAAATATAAAGGTTGAAGTTATAGTATCCTGTTTAAAGCATTCTTGACGGTTCATTCAATTTGATACATCATCTTGGACGTGCAAAAGTACTTTTGCTTCCCATATTTACAGGCAAAGTAGTTTTTCCATGTTTCCCAAATGATCACAATGGGGTAATCTGTCACTGCCTTAGTCTACACCCTAGGTGTGACTTGACACTCAAGATCACGAATGACCCTAAGTGGACCCTTGGTACTGGCATACTGCTAAAGAACAATTCTAACATTTATGAATTGTGAGCGGAAGCTGTAACTTGGTTAACATGTACTAAACATAAGGCTGAGAAAATAATCAAGGGATCCATGAAAGATGAACAACTACTGTCTGAATAAAACCTCTACTATCTAGAATGAAAGAAATAAGTTTGTCGGAACATGGCCCCCAACTACCTTAAAACAATAACAAAACTAACAATAGGCCTAACTTTTGAATAATCCATGAAGTCCCTGAATGAGGAGGACTCATCAATTGCTAACGGGAATGCTTCAACCTGTCTAGTCACGAGTTTGAGAACGAACGCCTGAATCTACATAATAAAAGGATGCAACGCAAAGAAACGTATGCGGTCAGTACATGTAATGTGCTAAGTATGTAAGATAACGCTAAACATAACCATAAAGCAAAGTAAATTCATATGTGAATCTGCTTTCAAAATATAAGGATGAATCTATCTTTGTAACCATGATTCAAAGATATAACTAAGATATCATATTTGTGAAGTCACGATGATACTGTAGGTGCATGGGATTAATAATAGCTTTAATGGAGAGTTTCGTACAATCGACAAACACCATTTGAGCTGATGATGTTCAACTTACGATCTCAGTTGGGTGGGCTGCCCTATACCTTTCCAGGGTATATAACCTATTTGTTTAATATGGATCCACTAATTGAGCCTCAAAGGGCTAAAAGAGTTGACCGTCAAAGCGGCATACTCAAATCCTATGGTTGCACGCAGTTATGAGATTTGGATTTTCTAAACTGGCGTCCTCTCGGTGTTAAGCAATCCTCCCAAAATAATACTTATATGATATGCTCATAATTTGGTAAACTATTTGCCCGTCTGAATAAAATATGAGACAAAGCTCAAATCTTTCTTTCTAAAGTCATATACTGAAATCTCTTCTAAATTATATCTTTCAAATTATGTTCATAGCTTAAATCATGAGAAAATTTCTAGAACATGTATATCTTGTGACTTCTCAAATAACTTCATAATAACATAAAGACTCTAAATTCATGCTTTGAAATATAAGTATCATTAATCATAAACAATAACATATCAAGAACTAATAAGGGTCATAAATATGATGAATTCGAAAATGGGTTTGATAACTCTAACTATAGAATCAAGTTCATCAAAAAATCTTATGAGTTTTGGACACGAGGATGAAAGGAATTCCTCGTTGAAGTCCTACATACCTTAGTGAAGGAACTTGACAAAGAACCTTGAACTTGGAGCCTTTAGATCTTGTGAAATTGGAGAAATCCCTTTTTTGAAGTTCTTGGGTTTTGGAAGAAGGAGAATTAAGGATTGTCGAAGTTACAATGCGCATTAGGAGGTTATTAGGCTATGATATGGGCTTAGGGAAGTTAATCAAGGTTAAATGTCAAGAATACTCCTCTGGAAACAAAAGAAGACCATAAAAATTAAAGAAAATAACTTATTAATGAATTCCGTCGGCCAAATCGGTGATCTAGAGGCCCCATCGCCAAATTATTCAGTGGATCGCCAAAATGGGACTTTGGATCACAAAAATTAACAGGTTTTGAAGGTCTTTGGGTCGATTCGGCGATATGCCAACCTATTGGGCGATTTGCTGAATGGACAGGTGTCATTGCTGAATTTCCCAGTTCGAACAAGTTACAGTAAAACAACCATAACTTTGTACTCCAAATTTTGATTGATGCAAACTTGGTGACGTTGGAAAGAAGACTCACAAACCTTTAATTTGATAGTTTATGGGCAGCCTAACTCTTTATTTGCTGAGAGATATGATCGTTTGAAGTTGACCCTTGTATGAACTCATGTGGAAACTTAGCCGATAGGAAAGTTATGAACTCGACTTAATGCTATAGAGGTCTCCTATGACCCTAAACAACATACGATATACTTCCTACACTTGGTAAGGACCTTAACACACATGAACAAGTAGGATATCACCTTGTCTAAGCTTATATATTTATGAGAAATGGTTCGGATCCTTAGAGTAGAACTTGTGAGGTGTTACATAATCTGGGGGAGAAGTTTGTGAATCTTGTTTTTGATCTGGTAGTCTACAATTTGCCTGATTCCACCTGGACTAGCCACTACCCCCCCAAGAGCTAGCAAAAATGTATACAGGCAGCCTGAACAGATTCACCTTCCACAATCACATGCAATATTGTCTGATACTGGGGGTTATGCAGCATTTACGTGTAGCAATTAAACTAGTAATGGTAGTAACAATAGGCTGTGTGAAGAGGGAATTTGGGCTTTTTTCTCACCAAGAAAATTTCTCTCCAGTAAAGTTTAGTACCTTTGACTTAATCAAATCTACGTCTGCAAATGTTCTCTACTTTGAAGGCATGTTCTCGTCTGAAACTTAAATGTTTGCAGAAGAAAAGTGAGATGTTTGTTCATATTTTAGTTGTCTATGTTATTGTTAAGAAGTGATGAAATGAGTTCTACTTCCACTGTTTTGGTCTATTGTGATGATTCACTAAAATTTCTTCCTTGGGTGATATTTGAAACTTTCAGGGAACAAGCAATTTTCCGCTGCATGATCGTTAAGCTGTTAACTGAATCTTTTGCCAAGTACCCTGTGAGGCAACTCCAAATGTCTGCTGTACTCTTTGGTCAGACCTTCAGATACTAAACCTTGAACTGCTCTCCTTCTTTTTACTCTTAAACTGTATTCAAATTTATACGTAACTCTTAGGTGTTTAGCATATTCCTTATTAATTCGAAGAATCCTGGCCAGCTAAGTAGGTTAATAAATTTATTCTGATTTGCACATACAAATATTGTTAATAATTTCATGAAAAACGTTTCAATTCATTGAAATTACACTTAAGTTCAAGAATGTTATATTATTAAGACCTGACAATGATAATCTACTTGCGACCTAGGTTAACAGTTGTTAAAGTAACGCCCAAGTGCCGCGAGGACTTAGAATGATATCTTTTAGATGGACCGGAAGGACTCTAGTTGTACTTAAGAAAGTTAATCCTTTTACACTTGAGATTACCTAACTAGAGTTTCGTAAAAAGAACTAGATCAACATTACGACCTAAAATGGAAATCCACAACCATAGTTTCGTATTCTTATTGATAACAACTAAGTTTTTAGTTACTAAGCAATACTACAATCAAATATCTTAAATTTTACTTTCAACCATTGTTTTAGAAATAAAGACTATTTGTTATGGTTACACCTACGAGTAATATTCTCAATGGGATTCGACCCAAACTTTGGTGGATTCTATAATTGAAGAACGATTGCTTTATACTTCATTGAGAGGTGTAATTTGAGCGTATCATGACCTCCGTGAGATGGGGACCTTCGCTATAACGAAACGCTTGACTCCCATTTCCTGATTTTTACTAACTCTTACCCCATGGAGACTTAGGCAGGGGTACTATTGTCCTAACCATCCATAACGACAAGACAGATCATTACAATATATTACTTGTAAGTGCAAGATATTATTCCCTTCAAATGCAATTGGTATAGGTCAAATAATGCAATTGTTTTAACTTCCTAGCAACTTTGACTTGAAATACGATCTACTGGCCAACAAAAAACAAATCAAATATATTTCTAAATTATATGTAAATACGCTGCATGATATTGCTTCAGAATAGGGAATGGGGAGCATACTTATTTTTGTTAGACAAGAGGATAGGAAATACGGTTACGAAAAAAAAGTGGATAGGAAATAACAGCCTGAAGGGAGAGGAGTTCCCAGATCTTTTTCTTTTATTGCAAGGAGTCCCAATGCTACTCTTTTTGAACATTAGTCCCAATGCTACTCTTAGTCAACTAACAGATGGGGAATGTTGGGGTAAACTTATTAGAAATAACAATATAATTGAAGTGCCTTGGAAATTGATTTGAAAAATCAAAACACCCACAAAACTAGCCTGCTTCAATTGGTTGGCTATCATGGGCCATATGTTTGGCAGGAGTCCACTCTAGGTGTTACATATGTTTGGCAGAGAATGAGAATATTAATAATCTATTTTTGCATTGTCCTGTAACAAAAAATGTTTGTGATATTTTCTTTGCTTATTTGGAATACAATGGTGTTGCCTGGTAGTCTTAGAGAAGCCCTCGTTAGCTGGGGTGTAATAGAGAATTGGGAAAATCCATCAGAAAAAACTTGGCAGTATCGATAGTTCCGCTTTGTGTCACATTGAGTAGCTGGAAGTAGAGGAGCTAGAAGAGTTTTGAAGGAATCTCAACTCTACTTTGTTTCTTGTTTTTTCAAGCTCCTTGAGCTTTTTAGACAGGAGTTGCAGTTGTACAGGAGCTAGCTATTTTTGTAATTCAACTGCATTCTCTAGATGCGTTGTTGAATGAAATCTACTTTCATTTGATTAAAAAAGAGCAAACAACATAAATCACACTAGTTTTGGTCCTAATTACGTGCACTCACATCAATTTAGGAAATTACCTTCCGTATCACTTTTTCTTCGCCAAATACATGTATCTCGCACACTCAGATACATGTATCTCGTATACATGCGAGTTAAATTTGATTTAATTTGTTTTAGATTCACTATATTCATTGTAATTCACATATATCTAGGATACATTAACTCTCTCGCTCGCCTCTCTCCTTATGTATCTGTATTTCTGATTGTATATGAATTTCACAATTTTGATGTATATGTGTATCCAGTATCAATTTCATGCATCTAGTAAGTTTCATCACTATATCTGGTATCAAATATTTAGTGTATCCGTGCATAGACACATGTATCTGTATCAAATATTTAGTCTATTTGTGTATAGATACATGAATCAAGTATAAAAAAAATGCACTGATACATTCATCAGTGTATCCGTGCATAGAGAGCGAGAGCGAGCAATACAAGAGAGGAAGAGCGAGGGGGAGAGAGAAGAAAAATGAGAGCGAGCGAAAAGGAGAGAGTGGCGTATCTGGCTTGAAATCTGGTATGAAATTATTAATTAGTGAGACAATATGTGATTATTTCATATTATAGAACGGATTAGTATATATGCTAGGCATGTTTGTGTAATTAGGTAGTTTCTCCTAAAAAAAAGTACATGATATTGCTAGCCGTCTTGGATGCATTGCACGTTTGATCTCTTTGTCTCTCCATATTGCTGTAAGTTCGAAATCCGCCAACTTCAACCTTATAACTTCAATAACACGGAGATAAACTTGTCTGCTCATGCACCAAGTGAGTGGCTCATGAAAGTGGACTGAGAATCATGAGGTCTCAAGTTCAAATTCCAAACGAGGCAAAAACTCTAGATTGTTCAATCCTTAGTAGACAGAGTTATTCGGTATGCAGACACCATAGTTATAAAAAAATTGTTTAATCACTCAACTCTCGTAGCTTTAAGTTCTACTTTTATTCTATTTTGTGTCTGAAATTATCTTTTAAAAAATCATATCCGAAATTATTACTAATTATTGAAAAAAAGGCAGAAACCTGCACATGCCATGAATTCCAGTGTAAATTACTTTGCCCCATTAACTATTTTTAGCTTCCTACTTGAGCTATAGTTCTTATTATTGTTGAAAATTGCCTTTACAGGGTCTCTTATCAAGAATCAACTTGTAACTAATCATATTCTTGATATTGCTTTGCAAAAAGTCTTGGATTCATTGCGCGAGCCTACTGATTCAAAGGTTTGCATTGGCCATAACATTCTTTTCTTAAGGAACATCACTTTGTAATTACTAGGTTGTACAATAATTAGAGTAGTAATTATCAGTTTGGATTGCACATTCTAGTAAATGCATATACTTGTTTGTTTGTCACAGCGTAATTATAATAGGATTTCAATATCATGTTTGATTATACAAGTTCTAATTGGATATATTATTTGATTATTTTTTAAACAATATAAATATTCATGCTAAATTATTTTTTTCATTAGCTGAACAGGTATTTGAAAAATGTATGTGAATCTAAGAAATATTAATTAGCTGTATCACTAGGTATTTGAAAAATCCTTTTTTTTTTGTTAAAGATAAATTCAATAATTATTATAGGATGACTAATATTGTAAAGAATATACCTGATCCAAAAGATAGTATTGTAATTTGAATCAATTAATACGAGATCCTATTACTAATTAATTTTTTGACTAAGATGGATCTAAGATGTGAAGTTTCTTTTCCCAACAAATATTTATACTAATGAGCAGGATTAGGAGCATTAAAGTAGGAGTAGGTTTGAGGAAAAATTAATATTTGAAAAATAAATATTGTTAAGAAAATGTGATTGCCAGCTTGTTTCACTCTTTAAGTTACAATCAATTCCACATTATATTTAACCAACAAAGTAATTACTTAGGCACAGAAACAAGTAGTTACACTAGAGTTCAATTCTCATGTGGCTTTCTAAACACACCCTAAATATTACTTTAACTTAGCATTAGTGGTGACTTGTTTATATGCAGATGTTTTATTTAGGTATTAGGGTGTTGGCGCAGTTTGTTGACCGTATGATTGAATGGCCACAATACTGTAATCGGATCGTGCAAATATCTCATGTACGTTCAAGTCATCCAGAGCTTGTTGCATTTGTTGAGCGTGGACTTTCAAGAGTTTCACAGGCACATGGAAGTCAGAGTTCTGCTGCTGATGGTTATTATGCTAATGATATTGAAGCAGAAGCAACCTTGCACTTCCAGCAAACTGTTCTCTGGTCAGCTGACTAGTGATGCAGTGATTCAAATTCTTGCTCAATTCAAAGGATCAACAGATAATAGGTCACTTTGTTTACCAGAATTCATGTCTATGATCTTTTATTTTCTCAAGGCATGCTCGCTCATGTGTTCTTTTTCATTTACACTTCTTTGGTTCTTACAACTTCTCATATGGCATTATGCTCATTAAGCAGCTTACAGATTATGCAGCAGTTTTACTAATTATACTTTCAATAATTCTCTTCTTGGTTGTGCCATTATTGTTTACAGTAAAGAACAATATATGCTCACTCGATTTTTATTAATTGCTGTGTACAAACAGGAAATTTGGACATTTTTCTCACTTTTAGAGTTTCACTCTATGTAAGCTTTAGTCTGATTTAATCAACTCTAAACTTGTGTATATTTACTTTATATGCACACTATTTTCTCAAGCTTAGCTTTGCAGAAAACAAGGACGATGCTTTTCATGCTGGTTTGAAAAAAAACGGCATGAATCAATTCTGCTGCACTGTTTTGGTCTATCATGATGATTCATTAAAATCTATTTGTTAAATTAGGCCTTACTCCTTTTTGCAATCAGAACCTTGATAATTTTTTTGTTGAGGTAGCAGCTAGAATTCCTATCTCTTTGATAACATGTTGAATTATGTGAGTGCTTCATGTAAAGGTTTAAACTATTAGAATGAGCAAAGTTTCTTTATTTAAATTTGGTCTTCACCAAGCTTGTTAATTGATTTTGAAATGATATTTCAAACTTGCAGGCAACAAGCAATTTTCCAGTGCATGATTGTTAAGCTTTGTAGAGAATACAAAATTTATGCCATGTACCCAGAAAAGCAACTGAAAATTGCTGCTGCTTTCTTAGGTGAGATTTTGCAGATTCAATGTTTCAAGTGATTATCTCCTTAGTTTTGTCTTTGATCATATTAAAGTAAGTCCTTGACTTCGATTGTGTTCAGCATATTTCCTTTCTTGGCCTTTACTATTATGTTTGTATACGCTATAATCTGTTTCGACTGTTCTTATTATATTCTAAGTAGATAACTTTGTAAACATATTGTTTGCATTTATGTTCCTTGGGTGGTTGTCTTCCCTACTTAATCCAAATTTCCACCTCAAACTTCAGTAACATGTGATAAATATGTCGCGCTCTCAAGTATTTTACTTGTAAGGCCAATTTCCTTAGTTTAGAACATCAATTGTCTTTAAACTCTTTAAGGTTTTATATATGTAAAACTTAAAGATTGATCTGTTTTAGAAATATGTGGGACATGGGTTTTAGTTTAAATTCCTTGGTCAGCCATTTAACTACATTTTTTGTGCTTCCTAAGTGAGTTAATTTCTTATTGCATTGAATTTGGTTTTGCAGAGTCACTTACTAAGAATAAGCTCATAACTCATCCTACGGTTTGGAAAATTTGTAATCAAGCTTTGCGAGCTGTCTTGGATGAATTGCATGAGGTTGGTTGCTGCTGATTCAAAAGTTTGTTTTCTGCGATAACACACTTTTTTACTTTTTGAACTTACTGTTTAGCTTCACATTACTGATGGCTTCTCTTCATGCACCAGATGTCTGTCCCTGGGACTGTTAAGTTTGATCGAAGGACCTAAGGTGGACTCGAAGTATATATGTTTGAACCACTGACTTCAAGATATTCGATTCATCTATGAATTTCATATCTTGTGAATAGTTTAATTTGCTAGAATTCCTAAGTGGTGCATTTAGAATTTTGGCATCAACTTCTGATGGTTATTGAAATGAAATAGAATTCATCTCTTTGCTCTTTTTGGAAAATCAAGAGCTTAAATTATCTATCATCTTTCCTCTCTGAATACTTGCAAATCATTTGGTCATAACTACTTATGTGTTCATGTGAGCGCAGTGGCAGACCCAGGATTTTTGCTCAGGGGTTCAAAGTATAAAGAAGTTCAGGTAGTAATGCAAGTGTGCGGTGAGCATAGTAGCCCCCTCGGCATGCTTTTTGTACAAGAATCATAAATATATCATTGGTTCATAAAAGTAAAGACTAAACTAATCAAAGATATCGAGGACAAAAGATACATTGATAAGAATTTTAGCGGATCGATTGTATTAGCGTGAAAATTAAATGATGAAAAAGGGAGCGAGACGGGGAAGAAAGATATTTACCTTATCATGCTAAATGTAACTTACTTTATTATACCATATTAACATTCTTTCTACTTTTATAATGCTCCATCGAGCATTCTTAAAATTTCTTGTGTTTTTTTATACTTTTATTTTGTAATGTTTTACTTTAGTTTTCACTTTTTAAAAATTTTAAATTAGTATCCATTCGATCACATATTGCTATGAAAATGGTCAAGATTCTCTAAAAGTGTGTAAGAATAGAGTTACTAATATTATAATGCATACTCAGAAGATAAATAAATAACATAGTCAATTTTTTTAGTTCATATAGTTCAATTTACTAGGTTAGTCATAATTTGTAAAAAGACAAATAGCGAATAAATCAAATAAGTTTAGTTTTCATCACTCTAAAAATAGAATTAAAAATATAAAATAAATTTCATGAATTCTATAAATTAATATTTTTAAAAGGATGTAAACGATATTTAAGTTTCTTCATTAAATTACATCTAATTTACCTTTTTTTTAAAAAAAATTTATATTTCTATCACAATTTCAAGTTAAATATAATTTATCATAATTAAAAGATATTTTCAAGTTAGTATATGAAAAAGAAGAAAAAGGTCTAAGCCCAAAAGTTCCATTTTCCAAAGCATTAAAAAAAAGGGGGAAAATGGGAAAAATGTTGCCTAAGGGATTTGAACCCGTGACCTAGGGGCATGTCCTGAACCACTTATCCACTAAGCCAAGCCCATACTTTGTTTTTAGGTGGTTCATTTTTTATATATACCCATAAAATCAGAATTTGATGTTATTCGGGTGAACCCCTAGAGTCCACCTAGGTCTGCCCCTGTTTGAGCGTGCTCATAGCCTCTTAAGAAATTATTTGCGTTTGACTAATTATTTTTTTCACTAGTTAATTATCTTGAATGAATATAGTGAATTTACTGTATCCTTATTATAATTGTAATTTAGATAGGTAAGATGCAATTTTTATATATTACATACATATATCATTTTTCCCAGATCATCTCCAAATTCATAATATTACCAATTCAGTCCTTAAATTAGATTCTATATGTCGCCATTGCTCTCCTCAAATTATGAGTATATAATTGGCTAACATGTATGGGACTGAAGTGTTTACCTGTCTGGACGTTAATGTATGACTTACATTTTGTTTATTGACTTACTAAATGATTGAGGACAGTTTGCTAATATGGCTTAGTTACTCTCTTACTTTCTCATATGTTCCAGACTGAGGAGTCAGTTCACTGGGGTAATGAGTGTTTTAGAAATGACTGAAAGTTGATTAGATTCATGCAAAAGCATGAACTTGCATGCCATGTAATGAGTATTTGTGGTAGAAATACAAATTGTGAAAAAAAGCATTCAGGAGGAAGAATCAGCATAGAAAGAAAGCATAGTTTTGAATGAATTCAACATAACTTGGATTTCTTTTAAACTACTGTTCACCTTCTTCATCTGTGAATATCAGGTTGGCATGACATATTGATATTAATTTTTAACCTTCAAATCTCACAAAATTATGAAGAAAGTTGAAAGTTAGCAAGCTTCACTAGTGAAGACAATTGGATCGGCTCATCAACTTTCAGTCATTTCTGAAATGCTTTGTTTTGCTCGTTTTGATCCTACCATGGAATACCCTATTCTAATCTTTTCCTGGTTCAACTGCTGCCCCCACAAAAACCCTAGACTTACAATGATGATTAGGACTTTGATGGATCACTTGTTTTTGCCTGGAATACTGCAGTAACTTTTTGGTCAGATGAAACTTTATGTGACACACTTTTATGTGTTCATTACACTATTATCTCTAATCTTTAGAGAGATAATTAAAACACAAGTTAAGTAGGTAATGGACTGATCACTGTCATGAAAAAAAGTAACAATTACGCATCAGTATATTCTATTCAAAAATTTCGCAATCACAGAGTATATTTGTTCAAAGCACTTGGCTTAAAGACTCTGAATTTACAGTAAAATGTAGTCATCACATAGACATATTTGTTCATGATTTACAATTCCATATTTGCTATCAACAATCTATTTATTCTATAGTTCCAAGTGTATCAACATTAATTCTGTCTGTGTTGTTTGCAGCATAGTCTTACAGCATGGACCCATTTTCTGATTCAAATAAGAAACACTCACAAAAACCGATATACAAGAACTATACGATGCCCAGTAATATGAGTCTACCTGCACGGTAGCCAAGTAAAATCTTGAGTAACTGACTCCGTTCTCCAACATAGGCCATTATACTGCAAATTACATATTGAAAAACAACAATTAGTAAGAAGGATTATTAACTTGGGAGAAATAAAAAGCCAAGGGCAGAGGGCAGACTAGTGTCACGTCCCACCGCATCACAATGAAATTTTGTGTCCGAATAGGGGCGGAAGGGTCTAGAATTGTGGAGAGGTTTTCGGAAGACTCTAGAACCCTTTTAGATTATTCAAGAAGGCTAGAGAATTCCCTAGAATTCTCTAGAATAACTTAGAAGGCAATGGAAGGTCCTAGATAGTTTCCAAGAAAGCCTTAGAATTCTCTAGAATGTGTAGAGAATTCTAGAAGAGGAACTAGATATTTTCTTGGAAAACTTTAGAATTTCCTAGAATTAGTAGAAGATTCTAGGGAGGGATCAAAGTGTAAATAGTTTAGAGACTTGTAAAGTAAATATTAATTACATTTTAGTCCCTAGAAGGTAGTATAAATAGAGGTGCCCCTCATTTGCAAGGCACCATCCAAGCTTGAAGCAAGCAAGCCAAGCAAGTTGTAAAACATTCTCCAAGCAATATAAGCCTTCTTCCAAAATTTTCTAAGTCTTCCTTTTCATTCTCTTAGTGATCTTAGTTTCATTCTCTTAGTGATCTTAGTTTCAAAGGGCTTACTTGAGCTTACAAGATCGTGAGTAAGTTGTCAAGTGCCGCACGGAGCATTAGTGAGACTCTAAGTCCGTGACACTAGGCTTTCAGAATTTATAAACTATTGTGAACTCAGTAAACAAACTATTCATACCAGTAAACACAAGTAGGTATGTCCAAATTTGGGAATATATATAATAATATCTACAAAGCATAGCTGCTCAGACAAATAATGTTGCAACGTGTGGATCTGCCATTTACATCTGAAAGGATATATAAGAAATTTTAATTTTAGAGTTACCATGACGTAATTAGGAGGTATGAAAGGATATGCTTTTGCCACCACTTTGTACCTGTTAAATTTATGAACATTCTAAATTAATATGGAAAGTCTCACATGATGCTAACAGGACTGTCCTAAGTCTCGAGATCCAAATCATTGTAATCAAGTGATCCAACATAAATTACATATACGCACTCCTTTTTTTTTTTTGATAGACCTACAAATTTTTTCTCTTAACATCAATTGAACTGAATTCCATGAAGACTCCATTCAACTTCTAAAAGAAAATGCTAGTTGTTCATGAGACCTCCTTTCACCTAACTCTCATTTCAACTCACCTCCCCAACTCTCATTTTCAACTCCCTCCCCCCATGTATCTATACAAAGGAGAAGTACATAAAATTAAGAAAATACCTGGAGCATTCAAACATCATCTTCCTTCTTATCTAGTTATGTCACTTGCACTAATCTAGTGTTATTACCCAAGAAAAATGAGATCATGACATTCTCAGATAGATCTATCAGTCTTAGCAATCAACAGTAAGATATTCTCTTAATTTTGTAAAAAAAAGTCTCAGATGTGAGGTTAACACTTACCCTTGTTAAGAAACGAGAATAGTCGACATTCCTAAGGCTCAAAAAACTTTCAGCTGCAAAACTGACTTCAGTAGCTTGCAATATAACACAAACTGCAAAAATAAAGAGTTTATTTAAAACACAACAGGACACAGAACACTTTTTTAACAAATAAAAAAAAGCTATAACAAAGAGTTTCTCTAAATTATGAAAGTACATTTGCAAGTGGTTAAGAATAGAAAATGTATTATCAACCTACGCTCAATTCAAGCTAAACCACAATAGGACTACTTATACAGCCGTAGTATCTAGGGCTTAACTTACCATGTCTGACATTATTATGGACAAGGTAAACGGTTCGCCAATATTCCACAACGTTGCCTCCCATGAAAAATTCAAACTGAGGTCCTATTATAGTTGATCGACCTTCTATTTCCGTCTCACGTTCCATCACCTGAACCCATTGAAATCATATCATACTATTAAATTACAAAAAACTTAAACAATAGATTTCAACAATAATCTAAGGAACATACAACATCGAAATTAAGAAACAATAATTTTTAAATTATATGGAATTAAGAGGAAAACAAGAATGTGGCAAAGTCGCAAAGAAAAAATATCTCTAGCTTTCACTGTAAAGAAGAGAGTGCAATTATCAACATCATCAGAAGGCACAATAAACCTAGACGTGATTTGATCAATTTCAATACTCAAACTTGATCGACAAGTAAGCGGAATGTAATCAAACATCTTCGCATGAAAAAGCGTGCTCATCTGAAACCAGATTTATCTGCCTTCCATCCAAAACTACAAAGATTGTGCCACCCACTCGGCCATCAGAAGATAGAATAAAACTTGAACGATTCTATCCTACAGACATTGTTAGGCCAGCAAAGTTAGTAATGGCTATAATAGCCTGTTAACAAACCGAAGCATCGGGTATAACCATGGTAATAGCCATGCTTCACAGAGA